CTATCTATCTATCTATCTATCTAATTTATCCTATCTATCTATCTATCTATCTATCTATCTATCTATCTATCTATCTATCTATCTATCTATCTATCTATCTATCTATCTATCTCACTGAATAGCTTTGGGCTAATTATATTCTCTTAATCCAATCTAGTATAGGAAAGGTGTAGGAAAGATAGAATGAGATCTGTTCTGTTTCAGAGGACCATTGGCTATGAATGCAATGAAATTTGAAATTAATGAAATGGGTTAAATTGGGTTAGGTTGGGTTGGGTTGCATTGGGTTGGGTTGAGTTGAATTATGTTGGGTTGGGTAAAAGAGAGAAGGAGAAATTTACAAAAGAGCAGAAAGAGACACTTCTTTTTCTTAACTTACCTGAGGATCACTGAGTCGAGTGAGATCTGGGTAAAGGTAGAAGAGGATCCCTTTAGATGCTCCAGGCAAGGAGACCCCCCTGATCAGCAGAACAATCAGCATGAGGTATGGGAAGGTGGCAGTGAAGTACACGACCTGGTAAAGACCAAAAGACACTCAGTGTAAGTAAATGCTGTGCAGAACAACCAGGTTGTCACGGTCCAATGGTGCTTTTGGCAAGCCTATGATGACTTTCCTTAGCCCAATGTACTCCAGGTGTTTTGGGGCAGCCACTGTACAAAATGTTAAGAGCAATGTTGGCTGGATATTCTTGGAATTGTCATCCCCTCCCAATGGGAGGGGATCGGGTTGCGGAACACTATGCAATACCTCCTTACTCTTTCAACTTTGGCTGAGGGATACAGAAGAGTGAAAAGAAGATGAGAGCTGTTTTAGGGATATGCGTGTCATTCTTGAAATTGGGAATGTCAGCTATCCAGGTCTTAAGTCTGAACAGTGAATGGCATATATATCCCACCTCTTTATCATTATGCCTTATTGTGTAAGGTACTATGTAGTAGCTAGAAATGAAATCACAGCTGAAAATATGACCAGATAGTATAGGAGGCTCCAGTATGTTCTGGAGAGCTCACATCTTGAAGTGCTCTTGCATATCCTGTGCTTCATAGCTGGCTAGTGTTGTGGCCCACCAGCAGCCAGCCCAGCTGGCAGCAGATTCGGACAGTGAGGACGTTGGGGAGGAACATGGGCCAGTCCTGGAGTCTGGGGAAGGCTCTGACGAGGGCTCTGCATCAGAGGCAGAGATGGAGCCATGGCCGGCTGACAGTTATCAGCTGCCTTCGGAATCAGACATCAGTGAGGCAAATGAACAGCTGGAGCCTGTTCCCTGTGTGTGCATGCACAGAGTTGCCAGATGAAGGGAACAGCTAAGGAACAAGGGTCGACTTGGAAGTAAGGCCACAGGTGGATGGTGAATGCTCCCCCCCCCACGGAATAAAAGAGAAGCAAAAAGGGAGGGGAGTTTGCAGGAGACAATGAGTTCATTCCTGCATTCTTGCCAAGTATTGCAGAGTCTGAAAGATATCGGCCTAGGCACTCTCCAAGCCTGATAAAGGTCGGTAATTATGAATTATCTTGAAAGACTGTGGGCAGGGACTTCGCTGGAGAGGAATTCACTGTAAATTAAATAAAAGGGGTTTATCGGGATGAAGACTCAGCTTCGTGCTGCTGGGGAAGCCTAGGTCAGAACTGGAGACAATGTCACCATTCTGCAGCGTCCTTCTTTGCCTTACCCCAATATCTAGCACAGCAGGACTGCAACAGCGATTATAATCAATGGAAAGCAATGCAGTGAATGTCCATACTGAATTCTACTGTATATATTTCTAATTTCACTAATATTTAATTCTGTTTCTCCATTCCTTCCATATAAAGTTTAAAACCAAAGGAGAAGCAGAAGACACGAAATCTCTTCTCGAGATGGGCCCTAGTAATTTTAAACAGGCACTAGGAAGAGATCATGCGTCAGGGCATAAAGGGAGAAATTCAATCTAAACCACTTTTTAAATTCTACCTGCATTCCCCTCCTCCCCATTCCCATTAACTCCAAAAGAACAGAATCAAAAGCTTTGGGCCCATTTGAAGGAAATACCTGCAGACAAATAGCTCATCACTCTGACATGCGCCCAGTTTCGGCCTCAAAAATTGGCATGCGATCTTTAGCAGACTTTCCTGCTGGCATATTTGAGCAGCTACTAGCAGCATGCAGTTTCCACGTTCCAAATATTTTTTTTCCCTCTTGTCAATCTCTGCCACATTCAAAAGATCTTGGGCATTTCTCCCCAGCACCGTAGGTGTTCTCTTAATTACAAGCAGCAATTTTATTTTCACCAATAACAAATCATATAGGACAAATAGGAACAACGTTAAGGGCACCGACATCTTGTACAGAGCAATGACGCTAGTGATCTATGACAGTAATCGCTAACCTTTTTCTAAAGGTGTGCCAAAATTGTGCGTGTGCGTACTATTGTGCATGTACAGGTGCCAGGGGTGGGTTCCTGCCAGTTCTAACCTCTTTTATAGAAGAGGTTCCACAAATCTACAGTGCCATTTAGAACTGGTTCCATCTCCCTTCCCTCGTCCCTCCACACATCATCAAGATAAAGAGCAAGAGGAGGAATTCTGGGAGTTGAAGTCCANAGGAGGAGGAGGAGGAGGAGGAGGAGATCAAGATCAAGATGGATTCTAGTTCATGTTCAGTGCTGCAGATTTGCCTGTTTCAAGGAGCTTGGGAAGAGACTCCTGAAATAATTGTGTATGGATCTGGAGAAGGCCGTTGAAGAAGGAGGGTGGATGAAAAGATCATCACTGAAGGGGAATAATAGTTGTAGCTCAAGGGTTGAAATGAAGGGTCCTTTGTGCTCCCTGAGTTTGATTCTTTTCTTGCAGATGCTTCCTTACCCAAACTAGGTAACATCATCAGTGGGAAAAGACCATCCACTATCAGATTAATGAAGACTCTTTGCTAGATATCGATTATGTCTAATAGTTATTATATTCTTTAAAAAAACAACAACACAGAATTATCAAACCCTTTCCAATATATTATATTGTCAATACAGCAACAATTTGCACACCAAATGCATCCAATAATTTGATTTTATTTATATCAAGTTTATGTCACTTTTCCAAACCAGAATTCTAAGTAATGTTAATTAATATGATAAAAATATCAATAAATTCTAAATTTAATATTTTTAAATAAAACAGCACCATAGGTTATATTGTAATCAAAGCAATCCTACCAGAAGATAATTAAGAGGAGATTCCTGTGTATGCATGGCTAAGAAATAGAGATAAGGAGGAAGACCATAAGATTACCAATATCATAAGCAAAGTTCAAGAAAAAGAATTTCTAATTCTTTATCTAAATTTCATTGCCCTTGTAATCAGCAGGTTATTAGGTCTAAAATCACACTGATTCACTGAGATACATCACCTACTGCAACTGAGACTCTACGGTGGGGGAATCGGACTTCCGGTTGGCTCCAGAATTGAATGTGGGGGCTTCCAGTTAGGACCTTTGTGGTTCCTTGTGTATTTAAGGTTGCCGACCCCTGATCCAGACCATTAAAATGGGCAAAGAAGAAGCCAGAGAAGTTTTGGAGGATGTTCTAATACCACTATCGAAAATAAATGCATCTTGATGCCCAGAGGATGTTTCAAAAGATACAAGAGAGCATAAAGGTGCATCAGTATTTCCAAAGACATTATATAAGACAGGCTCTATTGGAGATATGGAACAAACAAAAAAACTATAGGGAATTACCGAACTGGCTCTCCATCCTAGAAGTGGTGGTATATCCAAACCAGGTTTGGCAAACCTTATAAATTGGGGGGAAATTGTAACATATAAAGACATGTTAGATGATCACGGGGGATTAAAACCGAGACTGCAACCAAAAGAACAAGGATTGGAATTAGAATGGGGGTCATATTTACAAATACAGTCATGTTATACGAAAGATATGAGAACATGGGGCATCAATAGGAATTTAACGCCATTAAATAAACTTCTATCGGGGACAGTGGAGAAAATGATCAAAGCAATCTATACATTTTTATTAGAATACAAAATGGAGGAAGAGCATGCTAAAGAAGCGATTGTGGTATGGGCAAAGAACTTGGGGTACAATATCGAATTCGAAAAATGGGAAAAATTGTGGGATAAAGACAGGAAACTAACTTTGGCCACATCATACAAAGATGCTTCTTAGATGAAAAATGAAGTGAATTCTTCTTCCTCCTCCTCAAGGGGAAAAAAACAATCCACTTGACTTTTGAAAAAGCACCTTAGAACATGGGAAGTGTTAGGATGTACTCCTGGTAATAAATATTATTGGAGAAATTGAGCAACTTCGCCAGTTTTATTTTTTCATTGCAAAAGTCGGTATGCGTGTAAAAATGAGGTGTGATTCACCTCCCCTTTGTCTCTTCCCCTCTTTGAGCCCCTGCAGCAGCAATCGTTGTCTTCTTCATTTGAAAGGCAAATCTTAACGGGAGACAAGAAAATCACCTAAATGTTAAAGTCACAGGGTGAATCTCCCATCAACGCAAGCAAAGAAATGGCAGCCTGGTTTTGCAAATCTAAACTGCTAGTCAGTGGTGGAATTCAAAAGTTTCCCCTACCTGTTCTGTGGGCATGGCTTTGTGGGCGTGGCTTTGTGGGTGTGGCTTGATGGTCATGTGACTGGGTGGGCATGGCTGCACAACTGACTCACGCACAATGCGAAAGCAGCTGGACTTCACACAAAATGGCCCCTGCAACAAGCAGGAACCTCACCCAGAGCTCAAAAACCAACTATCACACTTTACACAAAAAAACAACAACACAAAAGCTACACAACTGACTCACACACAATGCAAAAGCAGCTGGACTTCACACAAAATGGCCCCTGCAACAAGCAGGAACCTCACCCAGAGCTCAAAAACCAACTATCACACTTTACACAAAAAAACAACACAAAAGCTATACTACTGACTCACACACAATGCAAAAGCAGCTGGACTTCACACAAAATGGCCCCTGCAACAAGCAGGAACCTCACCCAGAGCTCAGAAACCAACTATCACACTTTACACACACAAAAAACACAAAAGCTACACAACTGACTCACACACAATGCAAAAGCAGCTGGACTTCACACAAAATGGCCCCTGCAACAAGCAGGAACCTCACCCAGAGCTCAGAAACCAACTATC